TACCCAACCATCCGCATACATCCCATCCCATACATACCGATATATCTATCTATCGATCAATCGATCGATAGATATGTGTGTGTGTATAAATATGTGTCTGTGTGTATATATGTACACACACACATACGTGTATATATATGTGTGTGTGTGTGTGTATATATATGTGTGTGTGTGTGTGTATATATATGTGTGTGTGTGTGTGTATATATATGTGTGTGTGTGTGTGTATATATATGTGTGTGTGTGTGTGTATATATATGTGTGTGTGTGTGTGTATATATATGTGTGTGTGTGTGTGTATATATATGTGTGTGTGTGTGTGTATATATATGTGTGTGTGTGTGTGTATATATATGTGTGTGTGTGTGTGTATATATATGTGTGTGTGTGTGTGTATATATATGTGTGTGTGTGTGTGTATATATATGTGTGTGTGTGTGTGTATATATATGTGTGTGTGTGTGTGTATATATATGTGTGTGTGTGTGTGTATATATATGTGTGTGTGTGTGTGTATATATATGTGTGTGTGTGTGTGTATATATATGTGTGTGTGTGTGTGTATATATATGTGTGTGTGTGTGTGTATATATATGTGTGTGTGTGTGTGTATATATATGTGTGTGTGTGTGTGTATATATATGTGTGTGTGTGTGTGTATATATATGTGTGTGTGTGTGTGTATATATATGTGTGTGTGTGTGTGTATATATATGTGTGTGTGTGTGTGTATATATATGTGTGTGTGTGTGTGTATATATATGTGTGTGTGTGTGTGTATATATATGTGTGTGTGTGTGTGTATATATATGTGTGTGTGTGTGTGTATATATATGTGTGTGTGTGTGTGTATATATATGTGTGTGTGTGTGTGTATATATATGTGTGTGTGTGTGTGTATATATATGTGTGTGTGTGTGTGTATATATATGTGTGTGTGTGTGTGTATATATATGTGTGTGTGTGTGTGTATATATATGTGTGTGTGTGTGTGTATATATATGTGTGTGTGTGTGTGTATATATATGTGTGTGTGTGTGTGTATATATATGTGTGTGTGTGTGTGTATATATATGTGTGTGTGTGTGTGTATATATATGTGTGTGTGTGTGTGTATATATATGTGTGTGTGTGTGTGTATATATATGTGTGTGTGTGTGTGTATATATATGTGTGTGTGTGTGTGTATATATATGTGTGTGTGTGTGTGTATATATATGTGTGTGTGTGTGTGTATATATATGTGTGTGTGTGTGTGTATATATATGTGTGTGTGTGTGTGTATATATATGTGTGTGTGTGTGTGTATATATATGTGTGTGTGTGTGTGTATATATATGTGTGTGTGTGTGTGTATATATATGTGTGTGTGTGTGTGTATATATATGTGTGTGTGTGTGTGTATATATATGTGTGTGTGTGTGTGTATATATATGTGTGTGTGTGTGTGTATATATATGTGTGTGTGTGTGTGTATATATATGTGTGTGTGTGTGTGTATATATATGTGTGTGTGTGTGTGTATATATATGTGTGTGTGTGTGTGTATATATATGTGTGTGTGTGTGTGTATATATATGTGTGTGTGTGTGTGTATATATATGTGTGTGTGTGTGTGTATATATATGTGTGTGTGTGTGTGTATATATATGTGTGTGTGTGTGTGTATATATATGTGTGTGTGTGTGTGTATATATATGTGTGTGTGTGTGTGTATATATATGTGTGTGTGTGTGTGTATATATATGTGTGTGTGTGTGTGTATATATATGTGTGTGTGTGTGTGTATATATATGTGTGTGTGTGTGTGTATATATATGTGTGTGTGTGTGTGTATATATATGTGTGTGTGTGTGTGTATATATATGTGTGTGTGTGTGTGTATATATATGTGTGTGTGTGTGTGTATATATATGTGTGTGTGTGTGTGTATATATATGTGTGTGTGTGTGTGTATATATATGTGTGTGTGTGTGTGTATATATATGTGTGTGTGTGTGTGTATATATATGTGTGTGTGTGTGTGTATATATATGTGTGTGTGTGTGTGTATATATATGTGTGTGTGTGTGTGTGTGTGTGTGTGTACATATATATATACGTGTGTGTGTGTGTACATATACACGTGTGTGTGTGTGTACGCGCGCGCGTGTGTGTGTGTGTACGCGCGCGTGTGTGTGTGTGTACGTGTGTGTATACGCGTGTGTGTGTGTACGCGTGTGTGTGTGTATACGTGTGTGTGTGTGTGTATGTATATATACCCCGTGAAACAGTGTTTTTACCACACCAATTTGAGTAGCAGCAGAGAATGTGTAGATTTCCAAAACAACTGGATTAGCAACTAATAAGTAATAATTTGTTTTTGCGTCCCTACTGCATTACTCACTGCGGTGTCACCAGCACTCAAGCTTCAACTGTGTCCTGCTGAGCTACTTAACTTGAGTTTAAAGTACTACTTTGGAGCAAAGAATTTGTGAATGGCTCTGAGTCAACATAGGAACAAAGCTCCAGCTAGAGCTTAAATTAACAATGAAAGAAAAATAAGCAAACCCTTCAAAAAGACTTATCATACAATGTAGGACAGCAGTCACCCACAAAACCAAAGCTGTCTGCAAAAAAAGGTAAGTGATAAACAGGCAACATAAGACCAACTCCAATATCAGTGCTTGGGTTCATGGGGGGGACCTAGCCACACAACAGAGGAATCTGCATACTTACATATGGCAGAACAATCACAGAATGACATAAGACAACATCCAGAATTTTGCCATAGCCCTGGCAGAATATCATGTAATGTATTCGTAAAAAATAAATAAATAAAATTCCCAATCAGCATGGGGGAAAAAAGCCCATAGTCTTATATTTGTATACATTGCAATCTCATTAAAAACACTGTCTATCATTAAATTGCTGCCAAAAGCAGCATGTGCTCAGCAATGGAAATTTATCAATAAATTTGATCAAATGCAGCCAACACTCAACATGACTATAAAACATATTGCCCATATTGGATAAACAGACTATAAAAAACAACCATAGGAATAGGTTAATGCAACCCATGTAAATAAAAGACATAATAATGCCTAGTATTCTCAGGCCCCCTCAGCATGAACTCTTTTTTCAAGTCATAGTGAGCCACCACATTAAATACAGTATAACCTCATAAATCCACACACAAAAAATCTGGAATTCTCAAAAATCTGGCACTTTTTGGAAAAAAAAAAAAAAATTACATTGGGGAGTAGCAGTCCTGAAGCAGCGGAAGAAGAAGTTTGCACACGGTGGCTGCCGCCACCATCCATTACCCTGTGCTGCTGCTCTGTGACCAGCCACTGCTCCTGTTTAAAAATCTGGAATTTTCAAATTTCTGGCAGGTGCTCAGTCCCAAGCATGCTAGATTTATGAGGTTATACTGTACATTTTTACTTCTCCTTTACTACCACAGCTGTGCTTTGCCTTTCTTTCCCTGTCTGGCAAACATCACCAAACAGGACCATCCAGAATTCCTCTGTCACACCCTCTCTCAACCTGTCACATGTGATTAGTGTGGCCCTACCCTCCATGAGGTAGAACCACACCAGGTTGCCCTATGCCTCATCTGCATATACATTTTTGGTGGATCCCAGGACTGATGATGAGAACACTGGTTCCAGTCCTGAGTTGGGGGTTAATTAATACATGGATCCTTTGTAGAGAGAATTGGGCGGAGGGGGTGTATCCGGAGTACATACACATACTGAGCAGTGCTGAGCTATGGGTTCACCATAGATTGAAAGGCTGTTGACCCTGCTGAGGCCCAGTCCAATGAACTATAAAGTAAGTAATAAGCTTTCTGGCCTTGGATTGATATTGTGTTTAGTTTGTTATCTGGCAGGGTAGATCCCTCAGGCCAGACCAAATCCGGAGACTAGATTATGTCCTACTCCCCAAAGAATGGATGCTAACAAGTGGAATGCATGCCAATCTGTTTCTCAGACCACTGCCTCCTAAGAGGGAAAGCAGAATAGGGGCAGCCTGAGAGGGACAGAAGTGTATGGAAGATGAACATCAGCTCCCTGGATGAAGAAAGGATACAGTGAGAGCTCAGACAGAGCTACACAGACTGGAAGACCCTCAGATCATCATACAGAAACCATCATGGAGTGGTGCACCCAACTGCTGGAGGGCCACCTGGGTGTAGGGATGTACTGGGGCCTCAATACCCTTTTGTACAAGAAAGGCCCAAGGGAAGAGTTGAAGAACTGGATGCCCATAACCCTCTCAGACTTTGACTACTAACTGCTGGCTACAGTATTGGCTGTGTGCCTTAACTCTGTTATAGGGATGGTGATCCATGAAGACCAGACATGCACAGTAGGCCTCTGTGAAGTGGAAAGTATTCACTTCGGATTTAGATTTGGCGGTTTGGAGGGACAGTGATTTGATTTGGTCTATATAGCCATAGACTATACAGGCAGGCAGTGCTGGCAGGAGCAGCTGGAGGAGCAGCCAGACAAACTGTGGCTTGAGCTGGCAGCCCGGGGAGAAGCCGCAGCTTGTCCAGCTGCTCCTCTGGCTGCCCCCACCCACCAGGGCAAGGCAGGAGGTGCTGGCAGCCCCAGGAGAAGCTGCAGGGGCTGGGGGGAATGATTGGGAGCTAGGGGGAATGATTGGGGAGATAGGGGGAATAAACCAGGAACTGGGGAATCGAACCAGGAGCTAGGGGGAAGCCCCTGTTCATTCCCCCCACTCCCAATCATTCCCCCCAGCTCCCTCTCCCCAATCATTCCCCCAACTCCCCGATCATTCCCCCAAGCCCCTGCAGCTTCACCCAGAGCTCACTGGACAGAGGGCATGGGAAAGACTGAGGTGAAAGTTAATCAGAAATCAGGACTGGCGCTTGCACTGCCTGACAATGGTGGAGTGAGTGGTACTCATGAGGGTGTTGTTATTGGTGCTTCTGTACACCAAACTGGTCTTCCCTTCTTTGGAGCAAATCATCCACATAATCCAGAGGGCCATGTGCATCTCCTTCTGAGGCTCCAGGTTGGACAGAGTGAAGAGGAAAGCCTTGTACAAGATGAAATGGACAGAGGACTGAAGAATGCTGGACATTCTGCTTTTCCTCTGGGCCAAATACATGAGCTAGGTCTGCAAACTGGCAACCAGGGCAGGGGATAAAACAGCCTGCTTTGTGAAGTTTTTTTTAGGTCACATGCTATGACATTGGGGGTACACATACCACCGCACATGATTTTAGCTACCTAGGAACCATCGTGGTTCTACTGAACCCTGGCACAGTTCCACAGCAAGTACAAACTACGGAAAGAAGGTCCAACAACTCAAATGAACCACCACAAAATGCAGGAAGTGGTGAGGAAATGGGATGTGGTGTCACCTATGGATCTACTCTCCAAAGATGGCTGCCAGACTGTGTGGGAGGGGATCTTCCACAAGGACCTACAGAAAGAGCACAGAGATGTGAACTGGCAAATAGGCCACAACACTCTTGGTGCAGGTGACGTGTTACATAGGGGGGCAGAGAAACCAATTATATCGCCCTAGGGACATCTGTCCATGGAAAGCAGAGATAATTGACCACTTCCTGGGGTACTGTCCTTTTGCCAAAGGGGTGTGGAGGAAAGTGTTCATACTCTTTAAGATGGTGACAAGGATCACAACCATGAGCAGAAAAGCAGTACTGCTTGGGCACCTCTCCAAGCAGAAGCGGAGCCCAACAGACCATTTTGACTAATTCATTTCCTGCTTTAGTAATGCCTTGTTGAAGGCTGGGAACCTGCTCATATATAGGCACACACACCTCTAAATAGATGCCTGTGTCAAAATGGGACTGAACTAGATGCAATGGTACTACAATAAAGTGATGGAAGACATCAGGGAGATGGCAGGGATCATTTGGAAGAGGATGGATTCGAACAGACTGTTCAGGAGGGGGCCCCCTGAAGAGAGCAACAACTACAACAATGATGTTGGTGATGGTAACAAAGGTGGCAGAGATGACGAGAGAAGAAAGTGACAATGACAACAGCAATGACTGAAAGGACAGGAAAAGAAACAGACGGGGGGAGGGTGTATGGGGTAAGCTTAGGGTGCAGGGAAAGGTTGCATGTCTTTGTGCCAGGCAAGGGTGATGATGATGGTCATGTGGGTGCATGGACACACAGAAGTGCAGGTACGCAGTGCAAATAGTGTGATGGGAATGTGTATGATGTAATGGCAATGATGTGTTTTGGACTGTCAAGTGAGTCATAACAGCCACAGGACAGTTCTGGTACAAGTAATGTGAGAGATACATATTTATTTTTCTACATAAGAATATATATTTTTGCAAATTAAAAGAAAAAAAAGTTTGTTACCTGGCAGGATAACCACCATGAGGTGGTTTTCAGTCCAGGTGGTTTTACTTACCTGGCAGGGGAGACACCCTTCTTCTCAGCTTTGAATGACTTGGTATAGTTAAAGGGTGGAGACCTAGACCTATCCATTGCACTGTGGACAGGGACTCCTGTGAGAGTCTACAAATGCCTCCAAATGCAAGGATCTCAGCTACACAATTTATGATGATGGGGGATTGCTCTCAGGCCTTCCCTCTAGCTTGCTCCTTTTGGCTAGGAGCAAGTGAGATTAGGGGACATCTGAACTCCAAGACCTCTGGGCTTGGGGCTTGCATGTAGGATGCCTACCCTGGATTTGGGAGTATCTGAAGCCCCAGGCTGAAAAACCTGGGAGGCAGGATGCTTACCGGTGGCAGCATCACACAGACTTGAATGATTGACCTCTGCTCAGTCAATAGAATCTGGCTGATTTGGCCTGAGACATGAACTTTCAACAACAAAAAATGTTTGTACTATATATAAGTAGGTACAGAAGTTCTGCTTAAAAGCGTTTTCATGGAGTACCTGTGCTAAAATTTGCAGCGGTTTCAAAAAAGATAACATGTATCAATTCTGGATGAACTAAGACTATGAGTACCCATAGTAATTTGCCTGTATTACTATAGGAGGCATGTTTATTTCAAAGTCAGTGCTTTCAAATTGGCCTCTCACATCCATGTGCTCAGGGAGAGCAGAGTCTGGCAATAAAGAGTGGGGAGAAGGGACTGCATGGGAAAGAAGATGGTGGGGGGCAAAGGGCAGGAGGGGCACCTGACCCCCCAGATTTATTTTCCCTCCTGTAGCAGCGGGAGAGGGACAAATTCAAGGCAAATCTCCAAAAATTAGGTTCTGTACATGGAAAACTGTAACAAAATTATACCTTTTCTGTATACAGAATCTATGGGGACCTTCTTATACTTGAGTAAATACAGTACTTCATGACACAGGCTGTAATGTGAAATACAAATTTACTCTGTATGCTTTGTACCGATAGGCAAGACTGGTAGGCAACCTGCTTTGATAGCCATTTCCTTCTAAAATCCTCCTATCAAATACCATCATACTCCTTCAAGCCGCAGGAAGGCAATTAATTAGCTCAGAAAGAAAAGCAGAAAGAACACATTCTCCTAGCAGTTCATCGGATACCATAATACATCTAGTCACGCAGTCTTACTCCTGCAGATTATACTACAGTACTGCTGGTGCAGCAAAGCATGAATGTATACACCCTATATTCTCATGGTAGTGGATTATCTCCTATCTGAATAGGTGTGTTTAGGTTCAACTGTTCCTCCTTAGGAGGTATCTGGCCTTACTGTTCTCTGTACACTACTCATTCATTCATGTAGCATAGCTGAAAGCTACCTGGGGCTGCTTTAACATACACACACTTTTCCCTTGTGCTCTGTGAATGCACTGGAAAATATGTATTTCTGTTTATTTGGGGTTGCACCAATACATCAGTCTGATATTGGATCAGCACCATCATAGACTGATTGTATCAGAAATTGGCCTGATCAAGCCAATAATTTGGCTGATAAATGCTTGTGCATGTGCACAGCCACAGAGCAGCAGGCAGGCAGTGAGGAACACAGCCCTGCAGCTTGGAAAGCTGTGTGCAGCTGGTAAGTGTGTTGGTGGGGGGAGGGAAGGGGCTGGGGGCCCCCACAGTGAGGGAAGGAGTGGGCCTGGGGCAGCTGCTGCCCAGCTGGGGTGGGGCACGGGCCAGAACCACGGCTCATCTGGGGGTGTGGGGCAGGGGAGGTAGCTCCCACCACTGCATACACCCTGGGGGGGTATGGAGAGGGGTGTGCCCCAGATCTGCATGGGAGGAGGCGGGATGGGCTGCAGCTGTAGGCTGGGGCCGAGGCAGTGCCAGGTTCTTCCTGAAGAATGGGGGCTGTGCTCCCAGCACATGGAGGCTGTGTTCTGGGAGGGTGGCAGCAGTGCTGGGAGGGGGCTACAGCAAAATTTGGGGTAGCTGCAGCCCTTCTTCCATAGCCCCCTTCCAGCGCCACTGACGCCCACCCCAAGCACATCCCGCATGCGCCAGGAGCACAGCCCCCATGGCACAGCCCCAGCCTGCAGCTGTAGCCTGCCCCCCCC